GTTATTTTATTTTTACTGTGAAGTAGGTGAAGATTTTCTTAGATTCCTGAATAACTTGTTTAGTTTTGGGAACTTTACATCTTGAACTGAGTGGATAGATGGAGGTCCCATTGCCTGCTCTGTCTCAGGTAGTAAAGTATCTAGAGATGTCCATAAAATCCTGCTATTTTGATGTATATGTATATATTTGTTCAATTGTAAAGATTACTGAAAGAATTTATGATCTGGCATTCACTTCTTTAGTGATAACAACAATATGTAGGTAGCCAACAGTGTCATACCAAAATTCTGCTATTTTGATATATATATCGATATGTATATATTATATATATATTTGTTCAATTGTAAAGATTGCTAAAAGAATTTATGATCTGGCATTGACTTTTTTGGTGATAATAACAATATGTAGGTAGCCAACAGTGTCATAATTACATGTAAGTATCCAGTCTCTTAATTTTCCTGCATTATTGAGATGACCCAACAATCTGGGCTGTTGTTATAGGGCAGGTTTATGTAATGGCCTTTACATAATAATCATCCCATAAATCATCTGTCCTAATGATGGCTTTCTATCCCTTCACAAGGAGAATATTGTACGGCCTATGTCTTTGGTAAATAAAGATATCAGGACAGGAGAACAGTTGAATTTGTTTCTAGGTCAGAATTGAAGTAAATCAGTTACAACAGTATATTAGACCAGAATTGATGAGGCTGGAGTCCAGAAGGCCTCTGTAACTCACAGCAGTGCATCTGGCCAAACAGTTTGGCAAATTTATATCGCTCCCAAGAGCCATTCACCACAGTCAAAGCACAGAATTAATTTCCTAATTCTTACATCCCTTCTGCCTTTCTAAACAACCACTGTATAAAACGGCTGTGCTCCCATAATATTTGCAAGGGAATTTCTAAGTGAAGTCCAAAGTCAAAGGTTGTGTTTATATATTCTTCCTGGAGCTTAGAAAAGTTACTGTTGTGGACTGCAGGCTCCAGAAATCTCCCACCGAGATTTCTGGCAATGGATTCTGGGAGCTCTTGTCCAAAAAGAGCAATGTTTCCAAACTCTTCTTAATCCACAGCTTCATAACTGAAGTTCTGTAAAGGTGTGGGATGAATGTCATGACATACACTTATCTCTTGGTCTTCTCTGCCCCTCCCTCTGTAGTCTGGCATTTGTACAGAGGTCCTTGCTTGCCTTAAGCTAGATGTCCCTTGTTGGGGGAAAAAGAAGGGTTGTGTCTTAATACCAGCTCAGCTCTGCTGCTCATCAGAGCTAGCACAGAACAATAGGCAAAGGAGAAGCATTGGGCAACAGCAGTGGTCCATAGCAGGTTGGGTTTATGAAACTGTGGATAAAGTCTGAACCCAGCCAAAATATGCTGGATTAGGGCTGAAGCAATCCATTTGCTTAGTGAAGTGACTTCAGAGCAATGTGGGTGTGTAATTGCTTCATGGAGGATTCTGACCCACTTGAACTGATAATTAATTAGGAGGTACCATAACATGTTAATCAAAATTATTTCTCTGTAGGCCTTGAGCTGGTATGGCCTCCAGTTTTGTATATTCATTTTTATACCTTTATATATCTGACATATTTGCAAGCTGCCTTTAAGGATGAAAAGCCTGTCAAGATGGGGTTTTATGCAATCGACATACAATATAGATCACAATGAACTTCAAAAACAATAAAATTATCCTATTTAAATATTAGAAATGACTTGGAACCACAGATAATGCAAAAACATTTCTAGTCCATAAAAAAACTTAAGAGTTTCAAAAAGCCAGCAACAACAAAAACCGGTAAATAATAAAGAGAACCATTGTCTAAATTCAGCAATCTGACCAATTACTGATTACACAACCTTACAAGATCATGCAATGCAACAGAGTGTTAAAGAAAACAGTTATGTATTTATGTACTTTTTAAAAGCCTGCAATAGTGGCATTCTTTTGCAAAGCATTCTATATGTGTGGGAGTGGGTCTGTTGCTTTAAAAGCCCTTTTCTTTATGCCTGTCCACTTACAGTAGTTGTTCTTACTGGGGGCATCTGAATTTGGCTTCAAATACAACCAAGTGGATATGATTGAATCTGATCCTTCAAGTAAATGTGGTCCCAACCTCTTAAACTTAGGTGGGTGGAAATGCCAGGGTATTATGCAATAACAGCCAGTGGCATTGTTATGGAAATAATAGTGACATGTTCTAACCACTAGTCCTCTTCAGCATTCACGCTGTTGCTGTCTCCTCCAAATGAAGTTTCTGAAACATCTTTTTAAAAGCAATGCTGTGCAGAATACATACTATGTAGAACACAAGTCTAGGTCTGTGTGGCTAACTGAATGGAGGTCCATCCATTCCAGATAAGACTGCAGCTGGAGAACTACTAGACAGCTTAGTGGTTTAGATCTCTGACTGTGAAGCCAAAGGTTGAGAGGTCAATTTCCCACTGTGCCTCCTTGACAGGGGCTGGATTTGATGACCCTTCCGGCTCTGCAGTTCTAAAGTGGTGGTGGTGGTGGTGATGATGATGGTACAAAAGAGGTCTGTCTACTACTGGCACCTGAACATCCGCTTTCTGTGCACAACACAGGACTTTTACAATATTTTTTATTTTGCTTTTCTGTTTCCTATCTACTACATTTTTCAGCTATAGGATGAATTTGTGACAAAATTCTTCATCCAATGGTCATCCCTTAAGACCATGACTGGTGCGGTCCCTTTTATGGTCACCCTATCTATCCCTTCCTAGAGTAGTCCACCATGACTAGATAGGCCAACTGGTGTGATCCCTTTTATGGTCACCCTATCTGTCCCTTCCTGCCTGCCTGCTCTGGCCACCCACTTCCTTCCTTTCTCCTCCTTTCTCCTCATTTGCTCATATCTTTCCTTCGTTCACCTGTTTTTTCTCCCGACATCTTTATCACTTGCTCAGAAACTTCCCTCCTTCTCTCCCCTCACCTCATCTTAAATGGTCTACTTTGTTTGCACTTGTTGCTGCTGCCACATATCATCTGAGGGAAGCAATGCTGGCCGCGCACACACACATGCACATAAAATGGATGACAGTATTCTCCACAGAGTCAGAACAGGATCACAGAACAGGATAGGTGATCTGCAATCAGGCTCCTTCAGAGCCATGTATTTGTGGCCTGACTAGCACAAAAAAGGGAAGCTACTGTACCATCTGTAGCAGCACTGGCAGCAGTTGTGCCCCTATCCCGGGATAGAAGTGGCACAGTTAGCTACTCCTGGCACTTAATGGATGGGCCACCCCTGATGCCCACATTGTTGTTTTCATGTCAGTTTGCAGCATGAAGATTTAGAAATATACGTAGTGTATTCAGGTAGTAGATAATGCTACCTCCTCCTCTTAGAACACAGTAGAAGAGTTAGATCTCAAAGCAAGTTGAGATGACTTAATCAGTTTGTAGTTAAAGTACAGTACTTTTTATGTTCTGCCTTGAACTTTCAGTCAGTTTATGGTGAGGAATAATATATTGTAATTTGAAAATCCCAAAGCACTGCTTGTTCTACTGCTTCACAATATGACACCTGTTCCAGGGCTTAAATGTGCTCCAACTGAGGCATAGCTACAGCAAATGATTGGGGAACACAAGCACAATTTATTTTGGTCCTGCTCCTTTTTCCTTTGAGGATTCAGGTAAAGAATCTCTTATGCTCTGTTCCTGTACTTGGAAGAACTCATCAATCTATTCATATGTTTCATATTTCAGGGATGTAGAGTAGGGTTAGATAAGCTTGGAGCTTCTTTCTGTTCCCTTCCCTGGTCTTCCAAATACAAAAGATTCAATAAGAAGAAGATAATATTAAGAATCAATAATAATATTATTGTCTTTCCCCAAAAATAAGACAGGGTCTTATATTAATTTTTGCTCCAAAAAACGTATTAGGGCTTATTTTCAGGGGATGTTTTATTTTTTTCATGTACAACAATCTACATTTTTTTCAAATACAGTCATGTCATCTTCTGGTTGCTGCACAATGGTGGAAGGTGGGGTTTCACTTAATTGGGACTTATTTTGGGGGCAAGGCTTATATTACAAACATCCTGAAAAATCATGCTAGGGCTTATTTTCAGATTAGGTCTTATTTTTGGGAAAACAGGGTACTAGCAAAAGTAGTAGTAGTAGCAGCAATTATTAATACTATTACTTCTACTTCTAGACTTCTGTTCTTGTTATCCATACAAGTTCATAGATATGTAACATATGACGGATAAGGAAACAATTTCTTATTCTAGAGGCACAGGCTTACCAATTGATAATTCAGTGAAATGACTCATAGTATCAGGTGATGCTATAGCTTTATAGATACCGTAATAGTTGTGTTCCTGTATGAATTATTTTCTTAATACTAGAGCAGGGGAATAGGAAGCTTTTAATTTTATTAAATTCCAGATTGCCACTGAAATTAAAGATATGTGTCATTGGAAAATGACATCATCCGCCTTACACAGTGTAAATTTATGCAAACAGGATTTTAGCTCATGAATCTATTCTATTTAGTACCCCTGTAACTAGATTTAATGCTCGGAAATATGCTGATACTATTACCTATAAGGTGAATATAACTCTTTTTTCTTTCATCATGTTGCAACTAGAGATATTTCAAGTAAATGGAATAAGTATAGCTACAAGTGCACAATTACAGCACGTAACACATCTGCCTTATAATAAGTATGAAGAAGGTGTGTTAATTGTACAATGTAGTTTGCTCAGAGAGTTTGCCCTTCATTTCACCAACGATTATTTGACCAGCAAGGGCCTCTAAGAAACAAAAGCTCCAGTCTGCAGTCCCACCACCCCAAGGCATTCAACGTTAACCCACAGGACCGAAACTGTGCTATCTTGCAAAAACATGTTGAGCAAACACTGACTATTAGTGGAAACCATTTGATAAGGGCTGCCACCATCTGCTGGTACAGAGAAGGGGACACTAATGTTCCTTTAAGCTTTGCTCACCCAGTTGTGCAGGTGAGACCATGTCCACAACAATGTGCCAAGCCATGGGCTTTTTCGTCTCATCCCTGGGTTTCGCTGGCTGTATCGTAGCCACGGCAATGGATGCATGGAGCACACAGGACTTATATGACAATCCAGTGACAGCTGTATTCCAGTATCAGGGGCTCTGGAGGAGCTGTGTCAGCCAGAGTTCGGGTCTTACAGAGTGCCGGCCTTATTTCACAATTCTTGGGCTTCCAGGTATGGGCAATGGGCTAGCCAAGGCTATCGTAGATGTGGTGCAGGCAAAAGAGTTTTCATAGACCAGCAGGAGGCAATATTTCAAATCCCTTGCTAATACATAGAGATTAATTCTGACTCCAATAACTTCAGATTAAAATTATCTTAAATAAAGTGCTTTATAAGAAAATATGAAAATTGTAATAGTTATATAATTTTAATAGTTAAATGGAAAGAGGTTGAAGCTGTTGCAAAAACTAACCAAACTCCTTTCCAATATCTAATTTTGTCTAACAAGTCAAGACTAAGCCATTGTGTCTAGTTATTTGGATGAGCTGATTTGATATTCTTTCATGAACACTGCATTTCACCCAGTATTTTTTTTTAAAAAAATTCCCCCTTGGACAGTTGATTCCATCCCAGTTTCACTTGAATGTAATGATATAAAGATATTAGGGAATAAAGTGTAATCTCATTTCACTGTCCTACTAGTCCTGAATTTTTCTTCAGATTGTTTAGGGTCAAAGCAATGTGCATAACTGGCAGGGTGTGTACTTGGTTCAAAGAAGATATGGGCAAATTTCTGATATCATCTGAGTCAGTGCAAATATACTGCAAATGCAGTACACCTATAAAATTACTTTGACATAAATAGAAAGGGAAAAATGTTTACTGAGTCTCACGCAGTTTGCTAAGTATTTTGTGAGTTCTGCACATTTCACATTTGGACATTTGCGTTCTATTTTAAACTATGTTTTTAAATTTTAAAACCAGGTTTTCAAATAGGCAACTTTCAGGCGTAACCAGTGGCATGATTTTAATTTGATACAAGCCATTTTGCATATCCACCAGTGTCAGTTGGTTTTTCCATTGATTGTGTTTGGCTGACTTTTTACATGCTTGCCGGGTCATTGAACAAGGGAGAGTTAAATACCTAAATGACTATATATTATTTTATTTGGTGTTAACTTGAGATTCTCCATTATTGACAGTGATTTTCTAATAAGCAAGATAAAGCAAACTAGTGCATTGATTTACGTTCCTAAATAAATTTGCTTCTGAACACATTTCCAGGATTAAAAAAAAAACATGAGTCCACAGGTCTCACAATTTAGACAGTATTAATAATGATAAGATAGGAGATACCAGAAATCGCTTGATCACTGTTTTGTGCCTGTCTAACAAATTTAATTAGTTTTGGGAGAACAAAGTCAAATTACATAACTTAGCATTGTTAGTGTCAATTCTTTTGGGAAAGGTGTGAAGACACATCTTTTTAAACTGGGTTATTGAGATCAATCTCATTATCTGTTCATACACTCCATTGATTTAATGTTTTGATGACTGCATCAATATTTTTATCTGATTTTAAATAGTGTTATAAATAAATTTGCTTCCACTTGTATCCATTCATTCCTTTTATGAAAGCATTAATTAATTATTTTTTCTATTACATCTTTCTCCTAATTATGGGACTCAGGGCTACTCCCATATTATATTTAAAAAACCAGTTAGAAATATGAAACAGATAGATAAATAATGCAACGTTTTACAAATTTCATTGAGAGTTCCAAAAAAAGGGGAAAAAAGGAAAAATGTATTCTGATCATTAATAAAGCATGCCAGCATGCTTGTGTTTTTCTTCTCTTATTTGGTGATTTTTTAAAAAAATGTCATAACTTCAACTGTGCCTACTCAGAATTAAGTACTGTTACATATAATGGAACAAATAAGTAGGGAAGCATGAATTTTACCTGGAGAATTCTAAATAATACTGGGGAAGAGTAGAGCATTAAATGTACTAAATCATTTCTAGACTCACGAGCTCATGTTGTGGCACATTTATACTATGAAACTGAATCAGGAGATGGATTGGGAGGGGGGAGTCATAATCAGTTTAAAGTCACATGGTTTTGGGCGTTGTTGTGTGCATCCCTTTGGGAAGAAAAGTAATCAATTTTTAAACTGTGTTGTACATAGGTTGAGGTGGCTACATATGCTTTTACAATAGTTGCATTTGAGACTTTGTCCTGCACACACTTGCTGTTACACTGTCTGCCTCTCACACTCACTCGCTGCTGCTCTGTTGTTATTTTTAATATTTTTTTTATTTCTTTCAAACTGGGATATCATTAGTTCAGTATTACAGACAGAAGAAAAATAAAACATACACACAGAGAAAGGGGAGGGTTGGAGAAGCGGCATGTCAGTGAGTGGCAAAGAGAATTTGACAGCTTCTAAGCTTGAGAAGAAGGGAGTGCATTTTCCCCACCCAACCTTTCTCCGTCTGCTGGCTCTCTTCTGATTTTTAAAAAGCCTAAGCTATACTCTGTGCTTGCCTTCTAGCACAAACCTGTCCTGTTCTGATTTCCCCCAGCTTCAATTGCACACAGGAGGAATGAAGTGGGGCAAGAGATGGCGAGTGAACATGCCAAAACAATTCAAAAGAAATAATATTCACAATCAAGTGAACAACTGCCTCCTGCTGTTTATAATACTTCACTTTCTAAACAAAAATAATGCTTCCTGGCCAAGAAAGGTGTGCTTAGCTGAATGTCACGTAAACAGATATTTTAAAATTGATTTCAAGTATGCTAAATCCATTACAAACCCTGGAATGTTTCAATCTGTAACTAAGTCGGGCAGCTTTTCCCCTAGGTGTCTGTTCCACAGACCAACGTACTTTGATACTTTCAATTTCCCTCCATCGACATTAATGTGGGGGAGATAATTAACTACCTGAAGGTCTGGCACAGCCAAAGGGTCTTGACAGGGCTTGGAATAGCTATGAATCCAGTGGATTCTCAGCAAGGTCCTTCTCATGTAATCTGGCCACTAACACTCCAAAAACCACAGTGATAGATGCTGCCCTCAGAGTCGTAACATATATCCAATAGTAGAGCCCAGCAGAGGGTATTCCAATACCCCATCTTAACCCCTCTAGTCAGCAACCTTTGGAGTTTAGGTAAAAGTAAAGGTTCCCCTTGACATTTAGTCCAGTTGTGTCCAACTCTAGGGTGCGGTGCTCATCCCTGTCTCCAAGCCGTAGAGCCAGCATCTTTTGTCCGTAGACAGTTTCTGTGGTCATGTGGCCAGGCGACTAGACACAAAATGCCGTTACCTTTCCACTGTGGTGGTACCTATTTATCTACTTGCATTTACATGCTTTTGAACTGCTAGGTTGGCAGGAGCTGGGAAAGCGATGGGAGCCCACTCCGTCACGTGGATTAGATCTTACGACTGCTGGTCTTCTGACCTTGCAGCACAGAGGCTTCTGTGGTTTAACCTGCAGCGCCACCACATTGGAGGTTAGGACAGAGGTCTAAATCCTAGTGTGTATTGTTCAATGCTTTTATTCCTACACAGTAGTGTTTCTGTTGTTTTTTTTTAAATCAATGATCAGTTCTATGCTTTTATATTTGACGTTTTTCAGCAATTATTCAAGAGGCAATAAATAATCTCTAATATTCTCCAACAACATTATAAAATCATATACTTTATCCAAATTAAATTTCAATACTAATCAAATCTGGGATACATAGTTTGTAATGTCTTTGGTGTGTGCACTGCATATATTGGTGCAGGATGTTACGGTGCTTCTCTTCTCTGTTTATATCAATAGGCTGAAGATGTGTCTCAATTTCATTAATAACCACCATACTTCTCATACTTTCTTCTCTTTGCTTTGAAACAAAAGGATTTTCTTCAGGGGAACAGTGGGGGAAGAAAGAGTAAAATACCTTTCCTTGCTAGCTTTGAGTGTGACAGTAATCAGCAATGCCTCTTGATAGTATTTGCATTTTAATTTAATTTAATTTAATTTTGTTGTGTTTTGTTTTTTGGAAAGCATGTGTTATCTTTACCCTTGTGTTAAACATTAGTCTGTGTGACTCCATTCAGACAGGTTGTTGTGGCCTATCAGGAGACTACAACATCTCAAAATGCAGTTGTATATGTGTCATATGTTTGAAGGCATTTTCATGTTAAGAGCTCACAGCATGTGGACAGCTAACACATAATAAGCAAATTAAGCTTCTAATCATATTATATAGTACTATCTGTAAGTATATTTTATTGCAAGGGTGCATAAAGAAGACAGCAGTCCATATGAGAAATTGTACTTTTGGTGGAAAATTGCATGGAATGTTGTTGTTGTCTGAATAGTTTTAATAGGTGGGTACAAAAAAGGAAATTTGTTGGAATACTTTTCATCTCAGTTGTTTCATTTTTATTCATGGGGCAAATTGCGTGTGTCAAATGGATGAAATCTGAGCACTTCTTTACAAATGTGCAGTTGAAGATAGCATATAATCGCCTGGGCCAGTGGTTCCCAATCTGGTGTCCCCAGATGTTGTTGGTCTATAACTCCTGGAATTCTTCACCACTAGCTGATCAGGATTTCTGGGAGTTATAATCCAAGAACATCTGGGGACCCAAGTTGGGGAACCACTGACATAGGCTGCATATCTCTTTCTGTGTATAATCCACAACATAAAGTTCCATCTTCAAGACAAAAACATTTCATGGTAATACACAAGGATTAAATTACTCAGAATGAATTCTTCATGTTCATTTTAATGGGATCTCTGTGCAACTAACTTTGTTTGGATCCAGTTGATTTAATTACACTTGAGAAGGTACAATGAGTTATACCCTCTTTTGACTTTTGGAGCTTAGAATTTGTCTAGCATTTTAATTTCTCCTAATTATTTCTGTCATGTAATTTTTGAAATTTTTTTAAAAACGTTTGTAGTAGATCACATTCTGCTATTGCTTTCTATCTTGATGAACAGAAACCAATGAAATTGAATGTGGGCAACCAGGAGTAGAACATAACACATTGTCAGGTCATATGTTACCTTTCTGTTTGCTTCTGTCTGTTCTGTACATAATGCACAGTGTGACCATACTTAGGAGCTGATAGCATCTTGCAGTAACTGTTAAATGACTCCTGCTTTGATGAATGGGGATCTGAAAATGTCTGGATTGTTGACCATTTGTCACACATAGACTGATTAGGTCATACCTTGTGACTAGAATGAATCATACAGCCTACAGTAGGAACCTGAGATTCTCATGAAACCTTCCCAGTGGCTTTTTCATTATGAATCCTAGCGACTGCTCTTTCAGGTTAATTCTGACTAAGTAACATGAGAATGGCAATACATCCATATGCGATGTGACTTGAACCATAAGACCCTAGGAGGGAAACCATCTGCTAAAGTCAACCATTACTAAGAGCTAGAAAATGGAGTATTATAAGAGTTTGCAGAACTCTCCCATTTGAGAAATCTGGAACAGCTCCATAGTTTTTGAACTGCTCAAATACTATAAGGCAGGAAAGGGTGAAAACTGTATGTTATTGAGATACAAAGCCTAAAATAATTTGGGATTAGGTTATCTCAGGGATTGTGTGACCAGTCCCCATCCTCACCAGTTACTGGAATCCTTAGGAGAAGCCCTCTCAGTCTTGCTGCAGGCTCCTGAAGTATCCCTTTTGGGCTACAGCATATAGCCCTCCCTGTGCTACTGTGCCTCCCCTGTGGTATC